TGGGGCAAACTCTCAGTCAGTTACAGGGTTGATGTCGAGTCCCGACAAGTTTTTCAAACATTCCTGAAAGTTGCTGTTTTGTTTTGTTTTTGTTTTTATTGCTCGCTCCACTCGTCGTCTGTGGTTTCGTCGTGACTCATCTGTCTCAGGGAACCCTCCTGATCCGCTCCGGTGTTTTCCATCAGCCCTGCTCACAACTCTGCATTCAAATCATTATCTAATCAGGAAGTCAGGAATCAGATTACGGAGTTTAGGCTCCAGAGCCTGACGTACCAGACGGTCAGAAAACATCTGAGGCGATGATCAGTGTTTTGGTTTCTTTGGAACCTGACCAATCAGCTGATCGCTCAGCTGATTGGTCACAGAAGGGAATCGAGTGAAGAACAGTTTGAACCTTTCAGACTTTAAAGACTTTTATTTTTACCCTTTTACCCTCAGCGTTTGTCCCGTGATGTCAGTGTTCAGTGGCCACGCCTCCACGGCGCCTCCGCTGGTTGTTTCTCTGTACGCCTGTGGTCAACACAGTCAGAAAGATGTTTCATGAGAAAAATGTTGGACAAAAATAAGTTTAATATTAAGTCCTTCGTTCATGAGACTTAAGCTGTACGTTTTAGAGAACTAAGTCGTTCATTTAGGAGAGCTAATTTGTAGTTTTATGAGAATAATTATGGAAAAGTACAGAACAAACAAAAATTCAGATTTATTTTAAAAACTTTTTGGAAGTCGGTCAACCTTGATTCTGGACTGAGGCTCAAACCTGTGACCTTTTTGTTGTAAGGCAGTAGTCCCGGCCACATCCCTGCAGCTGCGTCAGTGACTGTCAAATTCAAATCACCGTGTTGTTAAAAAGAGAAACCGAGAACGAGCGCGGTTTCACTTGTTTCTTCTCCGACGGCGTCAGCGCAGCTGTAGCCTCTCACGACCTTTAACCTGTACTCAGGTACACGTACTGTAGTATCCAAATACTGCAACATAAGAGAAGAACATTTTCAGTCAGGACTGGTCATCTGGACGGCGTCTGGTCGAACGTGCGGGACGCTGACCAGAGGTTGAACCACACACAGACACCTGCTGGTAGTTGATGCTGTGAAACTCACAGACACCTGCTGGTAGTTGATGCTGGGATGTTGAGATCCAGTGAAACGAAAACTTTTTATTTTCCCAGCAGCGTGTGTAAATAACAACACCTGCATCAAGTGTGTGTGTGTGTGTGTGAGAGAGAGAGATAGAGAGAGAAAGAGAGCGGTGATAAGTGGTTGAACGATGGAGTTATTGAGCCGTGAGTCCAGATTTAATGACCGTTCCATCTTCATATATTTTTATAGTCACAGTCTCTGAGCGAAGCATCTCACACGGATCAAACTCCGCCTCAGGACGAGCAACAAGAGCGAGAGAGAGAGAGAGAGAATTATTGGATGAACAACGATCGATCTCAGTTAAAATGCATATACGATTTTCTAACTAATTGACTAATTATATTAGGGATGTCCGATATTAGCTTTTTGCCGATATGAATGATACGAATGTTTCCGACTCCGATATCAACCGATACCGATATCGGACGTTTCCCCCCAAAACTGAGGTAAACGCCTCAGAACCGCACGAGTGATTCCAGCAATCTGTTATCACGCTTTCAAGATCGGAGATTCTTACAGATATTATATAATTAACGCGTTGAAAATATCGATCAACCGATATTATTGGACATCCCTAAATTATAGTTTACGCATTCATTTAGCTCATTTTAAATAATAATAAAAATTATTAATATTAATGTGATCACTATAATTTTAATGATGATGATGAAACATTGATAATAATAATAACAATAATAATAATAGCTTTAATTATTATTATTATTATGTCCATAATAAGTATTGGATAATCCTGGCAGGATGTCCATGTATCATAATCGGTTCTAACAGTTCTGGTTCCGCTCCACTCACTGTATAATGTGTTCCACTCTGTTTCTAATTGACTTTGGTCATAAAATGTTTCCCGCTGCTGCGTTCCGTTCATTTTGTCAACACTCAGAGCCGGCGCTGATGGAGGAGCTGCGTAACGCCGGGCCTCAGGATCGATCGGAGAATATTACGGCTTATTAGCCACGCAAACAGCATCCGCTAACTGCTGCTAATGTGGCTGAGAGCAGTGCATTAGTGCAGGAGCCGAGCGTGTGTGGGTCTGAGTGCTTATTGGAAGATTAGATGGCTAACGAGAATGCACACAAAGCTGCGCTGAGTGTACCTTCGCCAAGTTCCCACCGGGTTCAAGTCTTTTAGGACTTTATTATCGGCAGGAACACGGGCGCTGAGCCCACGACCCGTCGGAGTTTCCCCGGTGAATAACGAAAACACAGAAGGCTTTTTCGTCATTGAACGTGACGTGGCGGTATTTTCCTCCTGCCAGAGAGCAGTTGTCTAAACATTAGTCAAAAAGTTTCTTTAGACCAGACAGAGGTCGTGACCTGGGGTCAAAGGTCGTCCTCCAGAATCCTCGGATGGAAAAGACCAGTGAAGAAGAGTTTGGACTGAAACAGGAGAGGGGTTACTGTCATAAAGTTGTCTTTTTAACTTGTCCTGTATTTATAGTTTAAAACACTCTACATTAAGGGTTTACAGTAAGTGGGAGGTTCGGCCTCCAGGGGCACCGCTGAGCAAACAAATTTCAAATGAAGCATCTGTTTTGATATACTGTGTCCACTGCCATGAAAATGTCACAGATTTGTCATTTTTTTAGGAAGTGGTAAAAAAAAAAAAAAAAAGTTTCCTGCTCACTGTTAGCCTGTTAGCCTGTTAGCCTCGGTGACATTTACGTCAATTGCTCTGGTTTGCGGGGGCGGTCCCTGAGCAGCCAGTCTGTTCTTCCGGTCTCTTCTAGGCCAAACTAAACAAACGTAAACAGATGGAGTCTCATGTGGGACGCTGGATCCAGATCTTTGGTGCGGGGTCCCTGGAGTCCCGCGCTGCCATTAGCCTGACATGGTTTTTAAGCAGATCTCTGTCCCAGTTTTCAACACTTGGCTCGTAGTACTGGTGCTGCGATGTTTACTACAGTGTATGCAGTACACAAGTGGTAAAAAAACCCAAAAAACTCCCATCCATTTTTAATGTTGTTTTATTGATGTGATGTGACCTTCAGAGTATTATTATTATTATTATTATGATTTATTAATACAAGGCTGTCAATGTCAATGGGTTAATCACATCAAAGTATTTGTTGAGTGGTGCTTTGGCCCAGAGGCAACGTCTCTGTCATTGGTGTTGAACCCCAGGGTTCACCTCCTGGGCAAGTTTGAATCTCAGTTAGGGCGGTTGGTACCTTCCAGTGGACTCACCACCCGCAGGAAGGTTCAGGGGGGTTGGTACGGTGCAATGTGATGTGGGTGGAGACTGCTGCCCTTGCGACCTGGTAACGGATAAGCGGATGAAAATGGATGGATGGATGGATTATTTGTTGAGATTAATATATTGCAAATATTGTTTCTTTGTTTGTCAATGCCTGACAGGCAGAGCAATGAAATCCTTGTCCACTAGGTGGCAGCAGATGGTTATGAAAAACTAAAAAAAAAGATAATAAAAGCTGTTGAGAAGATCTTTGTGAGTGTCTTTCTTCAATTCCTGCCAGTATATCAGCGATGTGTTCAACTAAACAGGCTGAGATTTTAGTCATTAAAACTAGAAGATTATTATATTTCATTACGTGTACTTTTTGTGAGATTTTTGTTTGGTGATGTGCCGTGGGGTTTTTCTAATCAAACATATTGTACAAATACAGTTGGGAAACACTGCAGTCAACACAGAAAAATAATTTGTTCCTCTCAGTTAATCACAAGTATTTGCCATTAATGATCAGTGACTAAACCACAGCTATTTAATGATTAATCTGATCATTAATCTGAAGTACGGATCCTTTCACAGGCCTAATCATTGTTTTTATAATCACAGTTCTGCTCGTGGTTTCTGCCGTGCCTTTCTCTGGTGCAGAGTGAAATGGAAGATTCTATCTTTTGCTCGCAGCTTTGCTTTTATGTCTGACAAAGAAGCGGGCCGCTGTACTGTACACCCACCTCCTGGTTCCTGCATCTATTTCACACTGCTCCTCTCTGTTGTGCACAGGCAGCAGCGGCAGCAGCCGCAACAGCCGCAGCCACACCGACAC